TTGCGTTGGTGCCCTTTCACCTGTCCTGCCCACCATAGGAACTTCAGAGAACTTAGAAAAAGCAGTAGTATAACTCCTCCTTTCACTTACTGTTCTGAAGCAGAAAGAAGGGGGGAAAAAGGCTAACAATCCTTGATTTGTTAGAATAATATCATGTTATTGTCAGTGTTTATAGGAAAAGTTCAGAATAAGGACCCAAATGTCAAGACCTCAATCATTCACACAGTTTCTTATATCGAGCTATGTACTCTGAAAGTTGAAATGGACACAATGTAAATTTACACATTCTAAAGAGTAAGATCAATAGCTCATATAGGGGTTTGTACAAAATGTATAACAAGCATCACTTATGATTTGAGGCATGTTATTTATTTTATTTTCTGTTCCTACAAATATAAGCCCATGATGGCTACTATTTTGTCTATTTTATTTACTGATGAGATAGATAAAAATGATATGTCCTTGGTACTTACAAAAGTCCCTAACACATGATAGATGCTTTAAAAAAATTCTTGGCCATATTCATTAAGAGATTTGTCTTGGAACACTGTTGATTTCAAGCAATTTCTTCACTATCTCTGTTTCTACAGAACTATGCAGTTCAAATATTCACTCATTTATTTAATATTTGCGGCATGCTTTTCACACACTCAATGAGGACACGATATGGAAAAGTCAAAGTTTGTGTCATCTTAGGATTATTGTAACAAATGCCTGAGACAATCACTTACAAAGAGGAAAGATTTATTATAGCTTTTGATTTTAGAGACTTCCATCCATGACCCTATTGTCTTTGGACCTGTAGTGAGGCAGGACTTTCCTGCAGTAGTTCATTGGGGGAACAAAGCAAATCCCCACACAGATCTGAACAAGAAGACCCCAGGGTCTCACAGTTTCTCTGAGAGGAAATAAGGACATAAGCTGAATGTCCAATAGCTCCTTTCTAGGCCTACTTTCTTAAAGTGTCCACACGCTCCCAGCAGCGCCACACTCAGGATCAAGCCTTAGTGGATATTCCCAAACTTTAGCAGAGCCCTAGTTTGATAAAGCATTTAGTCTAATGCAGAAGATAGATACTGCAGAACAATCCAATAAATAAAACACACTGGCAAACTGTGTAGGAACTATGAAAGAAAATTTTCTATGAACATGACATCATATTGCCCTCAAAAACTGAAGAAATCCAAATATTGTAAGTTCTAAAAGGGAAGGTTTATCTGCTTTTATCTTTTGACAATATTTAGCCTACAGTTCTGCACATAGTAACATATATGTATACAAATATACATATATATATCACTGTATATAGTGAGATACACTGTGATATATATATATATAATGAGTGGGATTATTTTTAAATTGATATCAACATATTTTCATTTGTTAATTAAATATCAATTCAGAATATTCTGTTGTCAAATAATTTTAGATAATCATGGATTTTTCTGGAAAAAAGAACAATTTGATACAATATAGCCCTCATTCCATCAAAGCACATGGAAGATTTACATTCCTATCAAAGCACATGGAAGTTAGTTATTTCCTGTTTATGTTGATTTATTTCCTTAATAAGTATGAGAGTACAGGAACTTTACATATGACCATGTGTGCAGTAGTTGCATTGTGAAATGTATAATGCCTACCATTACTATGCCTTTGATTTTCACTGTATGATGGTATCAAACTACTTTTGCTATCAAAATCATAAACATACTATTTTTCACCTTTTAAATTTCTTTAAGGCTTTATCACTGGGATGCACCTCAGAGAGTCGCCATCTGAGCAAACGGAGCAGTACTGACTTTAGGGAAGTTCTGTCCAAAAAACTTGCCTCTCTCTTCCCTCTCCAGATGTCTTTGGCTCATCCCTACTCCTCCACTGGTAGTAAAGATGTGTCTTTAGAAACCATCATAATCTTGCAAAAACTGTATTATGAGATTGGGGTGTAGATAAACAGCAGAGCAGATGAAATCTTAAAAGAATAAACCAACTCTTCTCTGTGCAGCCATGGCCCATTAACAGTAAGCAAAAGAAGCACCGTGCAAGTGCCAGGGAGAGAGCATCTGGGAGACAGAGCATCTTTCTTCTGTGAGCCATCAGCTGCTCCTCTACTGTGCCCTCGCTGCTCCTCCCAAGAAGCAGCAGAGGAGCTAGCTAGTGGAGGGAGCTGTTTGCAGATTGATTTCCTTGCTTCAGTAGCTACTTGACAGCAAAGTTTGGCTTAATTCTGTTTTCATATTGAAAATTTATACAGAAATGAGAAAAACCACCACACCCAGCAATGAATTAATAATAGCCTCCAAGTAGCTGTGAGACCCATTATGTTCATAATGCTTCCCGATGCTGCTCTCATCGCCTGTGAAAGAGAATTTGTCCTTAAGCTGCTTATTTTCAAACTACATGTGAAGACAACAAATTGTATGGCATGTTTATCCAATAAGGCATAGCAAGGAAACGAAAGAATCAGATGGGAGGGATTGAAAAGAAATAGAAATTTAACAACTAGCCAGCCTGAAATAAAGCAAGTGAGATTAGGAAACACATGTACAATTCTCCACGGTCCCTAAAGTCTCTAGCGAAAAAGTAGAAATGAACTAATTTATTAGTAAAATCACATCAGGAGCAGTAATTTCATGTTAGTGAATTTACATGTAATAACATTAGGCTCCCAACCTCCATTTCACCAGTGTGGCCCTCTCGGATGATGAATGAGGTGCCTAAAGAAAGATGATAGTTTGATTGTTTTCACAGCAAACAGATCAGCATTTTAATTTCTTGCCTCTGTGTTTATTGCTTATTTGGCCCCTTGCTTGGCTTGTAAAAACTTGGCTAAATGGAAATGAATAAATGTAATTACTGCGGGTGACAGTGGTAATCTGTGTGGGTTTTTCATATTGGCTTTGCCAGCACTAATCTAATCATTGGAGAATATGTGTCACAGCACAAACGTACTGAGAGAAAGCAGAGTTCTCAGTCAGTGCCAAACACACGCAGGCAGGGAAGCTCAGACACACATGCTATTTTCCTTCCCCTGTGGCAGCTAAAGCTCCATGTAGCCTGAAAGGTTGACTTGGGTATACAAAATGGCTTACAGATTTGGGGAACCCAAAAGAAGGTTCCTAGATGACCCTGAGACCAATGGGAACAGCAACCAGCATTTTTCCCAGAGCAGAAATGAGGGTCTCCAGGCTTTGGGCAAGTGGAACCTGAAACTTTGCATTTCTCCCCAGTACTTAATGGCTGGGAGGGCTGGCTGAGTGACTTTTCCTTTTGTTTTCCATCTGTAAGACAGGGACCAGAGACAGGACCATGAGATTGTTTGATGTTTTGCAATGCAAGAGGAGCAGCAGGGGGGAAACCAGGCAATCAGTGTGTTGTAGGAAGGATGAAATGAGATAATGTATGTTAAAGTGTCTCGCAGACTACAAAGCAAAGCTAAATGGAGCAGAAGAGAGTCCTAGAAACAGACTTTATTATATGTAGATTTATTTTATCAAAGCAGCAGGGAAGCAAAGGATTATTCAGCAGTTGACTGGCTGAGTAGCATTTTGGAAAGAAAAATAAATCAAGACCTGTAACTCTAAATATTGGTCACAAGGAATTTCCAGATGAATAAAATGATTACATGTGACAATGTTAGAAAACCCAGATGAGGAATTTAATATCCACTAAATTTGTGGGACTTGAGGGAGGACTCGCTACAATAAGAAATAGGGAAAGAAATTATGAAGATTAAACCAATTTGATGACATTAACATTTCAAACTTTTGCAATCAAAATAAGATAGCCTACACAGGAAAGGGAATATTTTCATCAAATAAGGCAAAGACAAATAGCTACATTGTATGAAAGCTCTCAAATATTTACTTATAAATAGTAAAATTCCATCAATAATTGACAGAAAGAACAAACAAACCAAAGTTACGCACCAGTCCAATATGACACAAAATAATACAGGAAAAATATAAGTCTCTGTCAATTAGATGTCAAATGTATAGAGTTCATGGCTTCACAACATGGTAGAATGAAGTCATTAACTAAAGGAGGAGGTTAGGAGAGTTGTACTGAAAAGAACAGCTCCTGGATTTCCAAGAAGAGTTCTGAGCAGGTGGCCACAGAGACTGTTTGTCAAGGGAAGTTTATAGAGTAAAATCATAATGAAGGTACAACTCAGGTCAAACTACAATCAGCCAATAAAATTACATGTCACTTAGCTAGTATGGATCCAGTAGGCAAGCAGGCAAATGACAAGAGTATGGGGCTAATACCATTAACTTTAGTTTATCTATAACTTTAACCACAGAACAAAGGCATTTTTAGGGAAGGGATGGGCCTAAATTTTTCTGGTCACCCACTGGGACATCTGATGCCCATCTGGATTTACTGGACTAGCCAGTACCAATTACAGAATAATCTGAAATTGCTTGTTTATCCCTTAGGGAGGCATGAAGACCTTGCTATTGTTTCTCCATGTTGAAACCTGATTCTCTCCAGATTTGCTTTCTTGAAACCTGATTCTCTCCAGATTTGCTTTCAGCCACAATTTTGATGCCTTTGTTTTTTTTTTTGTTCAGACTGCCTTGAAGGTCCCTCAGTATATAAACTGAATATAAATTTAGCTGTTTATAATGAAGGTATAATGAAGGTGTAGTGGGAGACCTCCACTCTTAAAATACAATGTGTGAACTAAGGCATAATAAGAGAAGACATCAGGAAGGTATAACAGTCATTCAGAAGCCTCAACTGTGAGCATCTCTGCTCAAGAGTTAAACTTAAAAAAAATTCCCAAGAAATTCAAAGCAGATAATCTGTAGAGAAGGGATATTAGAGGGCTGAACAGACATATGGTTTGTAAAAAAAAAAAAAAAAAAAATCAAACCCTGTTAGTAGTTCATTTGTAGAAGGATGTTGGTCTATTTTAAAATTCTTTTACCAGCCTGTGTCTCTTTAGTGCACCGTGATGAGGTTTAGGCAGGAAAGCCATGCATGTGTGTTACTCACTGGAAGCAGGAGTCTGGGTTCCCACAACAGCATACAAGGGTTTCTCTGTTGACATCAGGGTGGCAGAGGAGCTATCTTGCCTGGAAAAGAGTTTATAGCTATTTTTATAGAGTATCTATACAAATTCTTTCCTGACTAACAAAATATATGCACTGAACTTCCCAGAAATTGGATTTTCTGGTTCTTTAAGTCAGTAGTTTGGATTTTCATCTTGTCTGGGCATCACAAGGATGGTTTGCCTCCATTGCTTCCCAGGGAGCTGGAACCAGGGATCCTAGGGGCAGAAATTTCAGAGCTCTGCGTTCACCCCACCAGCCACCAACCCCACTGTCTGACAAAAATAAAATAAAATGAAAGATAAAGTGATCTCACTGCTTCTAGTTTTGAATGTAGAATTAAAGCACAAACCAAGTACTCTCACTTGACAAAAAATAAAGATGGGGAAAAGTTTCTTTTATGTTTCAGGAAATTATTACATTTTGGTGAAGCGCTTAGAGGTATAATATGAGCTGGATAATTTTCACAGCATTTGATGTAGCGAATGTTGTGGGGTTTTTCCATGACACATAATCAGTATTAAGCCAACATTTATAAAATAAAAAATGAAACCAAGTTTCTCACCAGGAAAATTGGTTTCCGTTCAACAAGATGTCCTACGGCATCCTTATAATTTTTAAGTTTCCGTTCTCAGTTCTCACTTTTACCACAAAGGATGGCAGTTTGAATATAAAGAATCCAAGGTATCCCCTAAAAGGAAGTATTCAAAACTATTAGGAGACTACTGACCCTAAGTCAATCAATATTTAATAATAAGCATTGATTTTGAACCTTTCTCTTGCGTTTTTTCAATTATACAAAAACAATAAACACAGCTGTTATGTTTTATTTTTCTTTATTGAAGAACTTTACAGGCCAATACTCTTTAGAATATTGTATTTAGTATAATAACTTTATTTTCACACATTCCAAGTGCCAAATTAATGCTATTGGCATAGTTTAAATTTAAGGTATTGTATGAAGTAAATTGGGGAAGATAAAATTCCTGCTCTTTAATAGTGTACAGACAAACTGGTAAAACATACACACTTATAAAACTAACACATACATATGAGAAGTGATGCTGAGAAACAGATTCAGAAAGAGGTTTAAAGGTTGCTTGTGGCAGACACACCAAATTTTTCAGGTTTTGGCATCATTATAGGAATCTATTGGGAGGCACTGGGTACTAGAAGCCTTCTAAGTAAACAGGGAAGGAGACTACAAGAAGTGGAGCTGGTCAGAGAGGTGACTATGTGAGATTTGAAGTTGTATTTGAGTGACAAAGCAAGCGAACAATCCAACAGGTCTGGGTAAGATTGAAAACTTTTTGCAGAAGAAACTGGAAAGATCACTTAATAAAAAGTCTTTTGAATGCCTAGTCAAATTCCCTAGACTCTCTCCAATTAAACAAAAAAGGTAAATATTTAGTTAAAAATAACCCAACTACATTTACAATAAGGTGTTGCTAGGTTGAAGGAAAAAATATTTATGAGTTGGTGGAAGCTGAAATTAGCACACCCTACTTTAAACAAAAACAAAACAAAAAAAAAATATATATATATACATATATATATAAACTGTGATGAGATCTCTCAGAATCCTTCTTATGTACCATGCCTGTCCCCAAAGAAAGCAGCAGTTACAAATACTTTGTCCTACTGCTAGAACTACCACAGAAATGAATGGAATCTTTTTTTTCTATTTACAACTCAAGGTGATGTAAGTTTAGTCCCTCTTATCAAATGCATTTTATCTCTTTTACAATGAAAGGAAAGGAAAGTCACTACTGAGTCTGAACCCCTAAAATGCCATTTCTGTGATTGATAAGAAAGGAAACATAGCCGAAGGGGTCTGCGTCCAAGCCTATCTATGCACCTCTGAATCCTGTAGCTACCTTTGCCTTGGGAAGGTGCAGTTGCTCTGTCACCAGCTGTGTCTCTACTCCTGCCAGAGCTCCACCTGGGAGTCTGACTCCTCATCTTCACTCTTGGGCAAAAGGAGGTACTGTCAGATCCAGCCAGGGGAAGCACCCCTGCCTTTTGAAATGTCTGAACCCTGGCTTGGACACCTTACTGATTCTGTGAAGGGTTTCTCCTCAAAGGGAATTGAAGATCTAAGAAAATGAGTGAAGAAAAGAGAAAGGACAAGAGTGAATAACACTAAAGCCACTAACTGCAATATTTATACCTGGGGAATGCTCTGAATTATAAATTAATAGGGTAATCTAAAACAGATCTGGTATAGTGAAGTTCTAGTAAAAGTCACAATACAACAAGAATACTAAGGAGGTGGAGCTTATCTTAAACCTTTGAGAATATTTGTGTGCAACTTTTTGAGATCAACTTAAAGCTCAAAAGTGCAGAATAAGTCAAAAGGACTTAGTACAAAATTAAATCCAACAATCTAAGTTTAAAAGAAGAAAAGACAATATGAAATAAGGGTAGATGAGAACTGTAGAAAATCAGAGAAGACCAAGCAGGTAAGAATGAGGTAACATGAGATGGAAATTCTGAAGTTTGGAGACATTGTTATGGGAAAAACTCACCTGACTGAAATGCTGAAGGTGTACGGGCAGAAACAACTTAGGTCTCCTCTCCCTTTTCTGATTTTGATGCCGTTGTTCCTGCCAAGGAATACGTGGGCCCCACCGTGCCCAAATGCTCTCCTGCAGATCCTGCAGGAAGTCCAGCTCCACCCATGTGAAAATCTTCTAGGCATAATTCTCAGTCACATTACCAGGAGTGTGCTGAAAGCAATTCATTTCCCAGGAAAAATCCTGCAAAGTTGTGTCTTAGACAGACTTGCTCCTGAGCCTATTAACCATCAAGGTTTTCATCGAGTCGTGAGACCCACAATATGGGGCACACTGAAAATAATTCTGTGCTTAGATTTTTGATTCTGCAACTTCTCTGTTTTGGGGGTGTGGGCGGGGGCCCACTACATTTAACCTTTGATCTTCTTTTCTTCCTAAGGAAGTTTCTTTTCTTTAACATAATAGGTTAAAAACAAGACAAAACAAAGCAAACAAACAACCAAACAGGAAAACTTCTTGGGTTTGCTTATTCTCTGTGGGACAAAGTGTATACAAAAGACCTTGAGGTAATAATGATTCTTTCATGTTACATCTTAAAATACTGGGTCATTATTATATTATGCATATACTATTATGCAACTCACACAAATGATCATAAAAATATAATTTTATTTTATTTTTTTTGAGTCAGGGTCTTGCTATGCAGTTCAGGCTGGCCTTGAACTCACTTTGTAGCCTAGGCAGATCTGGAATTTGCAACAATCGTCCTGACTCAGCCTCCTGAGTGCTGGGATTACAGGCATGTGCCACCATGCTTGGCTAGCTAGTTATTTTTAAATCTTGCTGTGAGTCAGGCACTGTCCTGGGTCTTTTTCCTATGTTAACAACAAAGCTAGGAAGTAAATGTAATGATTATCCTTATGTTACTAATCTGGAAACTGAACCATAAGGAAGGTATGTGGTTTGTCCAAAATTATATAACTAGAAAGGAAGGCTAACAATAATTATAACATCTGAGATCACAGTCCTGAATCCAGCCCTAGTGACTTTTAATATTTTTGCTTTTAGAAGTTGTAAGTTGAGTATATGTGACTACATGCCCCAAATATGCAAATAACCAAGGCAACAAACACATAGAACTTTTATTTATGCACATGATTATTCATCAGGTGAAAGAGTTACTGAAAGAAAGTGCACCATATATCATAACTAGAGATTTAATAACAGTCTGGAAGGACTGAGAGCTAATAGAGTGACAATAGGACCACAGATGTTAATGAAGTGACCAAAGAGTATATTTTTTTTGAGCAGCTTTGATCCAGATGGATGCCTTCAAATGTTGGTCATGTTGGCAAACATTAGCATAAAGACTATACCCGAACTGTTCCATGAATATGGGAGATATGAGACACAAGGGCAGCCTCTCCCTGAAATGACTGGGGAATTTCAATTGGCAAAGTCTGGTTGTGGGATTCCTCAGGACTAGAGTTGCAGAATTGCCTTTGAGGCCTTCCACTCATTGGTTGTTTCCTGCCCATCGCTATACCCAGCAACTGGTTTCTTTACTTTTGTAAGCTGAAGAGGTCCCAAGAAATGACCCTGGGGATAAACTCTGGTATTGGTATTCTATGTCCATTGGCAATTGTCTCAGGTCTTCCTCCCTAAGGTTTCAATTACAGCAGATAGTGTAACTTTTCATAGGCTTCAATTTAACATCTGCTCCTGCCAGGTTTATTTCATCTGGCCTGGGAGAAATAACATAAGTAACACTTCCCGTCTTTGCTGCTCTGTCAGTTGAAATGGGACATAAAACACAGAATGGTGGCAAAGAAGGAATCATACTAAAGTCCTTCTGCTTTGCTGGATTAGGTCTTAGAGGTCAAAGAGAATGGTGACTGAGATTTATTTAATTGAGTAATAGAGAAAAGAGGATCCGATGTACTTTTGTCCCTCTGATGAGACACAGAATGTGGGTAATATATCATTATGTAACTATCATTAGCTCCCTGGTTTGCAAGAACGCTATAAAGAATACATGAATGGGGCATGACAAAAAATAAAGAGTAATTAGGAATAGTAGATGTAAATGAATATGGTGTGAAGAGTCAGAAAGTATATAATCTCTAATGAATCCTGACTTCCATTTCTAGGAAATTTAAGAGTAAGTTTTAATTTAATATGTTTCCTTTAGAAATATACAATGGCAGCCATAGAAGGGACTGTTGCTGATTCCACTGTCTAGACAAGGGCTTACACTGATTAATCTTCATGAAAATAATCAAAGAATAACTGGCCAGTAAAAACAGAATTAATGAAGAAAAGCTTCTGGGTCCAAATACAAAATGACCACAAGCCTAGAAAGAAAACGGGTTACTGATTATTTGACTTCTGTTATTGGTGCCTGCCCATAAGTAACAGAAGACTATTAGATACTTAGTTTGACATAAACTATCAAGGTTTACTCCAAATACTGTTGCTCAAACTATATTTGTTAAGGCAACACAAAGCCTCTAGGCTCCACCTCCCTTTGCTAATGTTAAACTGGAAATAACAGGAGGAATTAGTTGTGGTAAATGTGCCTAGAGGTCCATTAATACAGGAATAATACAGAAATTAATACAGGAATGATGGAGTTTTCTAAAATATTTATTTCATATCTTTTTAAAAATCCTTTGGTAAAGAAGAATACAATTTTAGATTAAGAAAGTTTTATATTTTCAAGAAGTGATGATGGCCAGTAGTGACACATGGCTGTAATCTCAGCATTTGGAAGGCTGATTTCAAAGAGGAGGGTCAGTTGTGGGTACATGTGACAGATTAGTGATTTTTTTTTTTTTTGCTTAATCTGAGTGTTGGACCTAGAATACATATTATATTTTATATATTATTTATGATGTTTTATATATAGTATATTTTCTTAACTTGTCCATATAAGCTCATAATAATTTGAGTAAAATCTATATATGTGTATTATAATTCAGCACTTCAATATTTATCCTGTACTCCTTCAGATGAATTTCTCAACTTCTACACTGTTGACATTTAGGATTGGATACGTAGAGCCTTTCTTGTACATGGTAGGATATTTACAGGGCTCCTGGCCTCTATGTGCTACACATCAGTGACACAGCATCTCCTATTTCCCAAGTTGTGACAGCAAAAAATTCTCCAGATT